CATGATGCTTCACTTGAGAGGTTATGAATGGGGATAAAAAGTTAACGTGCTAGAAAGTCCACATTTGACAAGGCTCCTGCTTTGTCTTTTTGTTGGTCACAACAAACGAGCTTTCTTTCTCGGCTCACAGAACGTACCTTGCCAGTAAAAACTCCCGGGTCCTCCTACAATTAGGTCTCCATTCTACAAAACAGAAACAATAATTGGAAAAGAAACACTGATTTTTTTTTAAAGGGTGATAAATTATTGTTAATAAGCATTGCTCTAATGATTTGTCACGCACAAAAAGGCAATTTTTAAAAGAGAGGTTACATGTCATTTTCTTTCCATTTTTGCTTTCAATTATTTAGTGTGTTATTGTATTAAATAATTTTAATTTGACTCAGGTAAGTTGAATGCTCTCTCCCTTGAGAATATATGCGTTCAATTTTTGGCACTGCCTCTGGTAAGCAAAATGCCCACATGTTTAACGCTGTGCAGCAGGCATGGTCTTTTCAGCCTTGGCGATAAGAAGAAAATTCTGTTCCAATTTATTTCAAGGCCATGGTAATACCAATTTTTTTTTTCATACATCCACAAACCCACCTCCTTCTCAGCAGAGGGAGCAAAAATTCCACACTAGAAAATATAAACGTTTTGTCTCAGTTATTTACAGCCCGTATTTCTTTAATTGTCAGTAAAAAAAAAAAGCAATGATAAAAATCACAATGATAAATAGTAAAGAATTTGTATGTTGAGGAAATTTTCCCAAACCGTTTCAAAACCACAGAGTCTTTCCCCCTGTATTCTTATTGGACATCAATATGTTTAATTTTGTGAAAAGATACTTTTAATACAAGTACTAAATCCAATCCGTCAATCACAGCTACGAGAGAAAACAATAGATTCTTGTGATCTTTTCAGAAAAACATGAGTATTTGAGATTTGCATTTAATCGTGATTGCCACAAAGGGTGGGAAGGAAGATTTGTTTTTCATCATATGTATTTTTCTCTTATTTAATAGGCTGCTGTGAGTGAGCATAGATGAATAAAAATAAGGAGAAAACAAAATATTTTTACAAGAAGTTGCCACCGTAGACCAGAGATGTTCCCCCAAGGTTCTTTGCTTATTGTTATTTGCAGAATGTAGAAGTGAGAGCTAGAGGATATAATTAATAATAGTAAGATTAAATATTAGAAGCTGCAAGACCAAGGGAATTCACCTTATAAAAATCCAGACTAAATCCTGCTTGGCAGTAACCCTGGCCTTCAGGATCAGCATTGCCTAGAACAATCAAAATACATCAGTGTTATCACATTATCATGGTAAGATATATTTTAATAAACAATTCAGGATGTTCTATGGTTTTCTCTAGAAACTTCTAGGTTTAAAACGATCACTATGTAGTTTTACGTTTATTTTGAAAATTCTGTCCAAGTCACTTATTAGACATATTTCCATCTGTTTTCTCATCCCAAATATCATTGTGATTCTACGGTAAAATCAACTGGAATAATATCCCTTTGGGTTTTGATACCCTTTTGAAAACCAATTCCGACTTGTCACTTTTCATGCTGTAAATTATTCAAAAGGGAAGAAACGTCGCCATTCTTTGAAATTATTTTGCTTTAAAATAGGAAACCGGAAAAAAATTCAGAGAAAATAATAATTCTTCATAAAATTCATGGAGAAAATAATCAATGTCAAGTGTTTATTTGAAGTGGCAATTATATAAAAGAGCGTGAGGTTCTTTCTTTTACAAAGTCTTTTTTTTTTTTTTCTGGTTGAGTTGTAATTTGTGAGAACTAAAGGAATCTTTCTTCCGGAACTTCAGAGGAACTGTGAACTTTACAGTTGTGCCCCAGACTGGACTCAGGAATCCAGGGGAAGCTTGTTGATCATACATTGTTATTTGTTGCCTTTTGAAGTGAAGTGGGAGGTGGGTGTGAATGATCCCCACTTGAATTATGAATGAGCAAGAGCTGCAGGCTTGTCATTAATATGAATGAGCAAGTTGCTGCTCACAGGATCAGTGCAGTGGGTTTGTGGAATTAACATGAGGTCCTCCTTGAAATTCTCTTTTGAAAATAATATCACTGATGTCCCTGTTCTGTGATACTGAGCATAGGCTTGGGAACAAGCTGGCTTTGTGTTAATGATCTGCAAACTCCCTAGCCGTGATGGGAAGTCTGCTTCTTGGATGATCTGAGGATGAAGAATAATATTAATAGAAATAAGGAGATCATGAGAATCATGACCAGAGCTGAAATAATTGGCAATTTATTGAGCTATTCTGCCACTTAACATGAGCTTCAATTTACCTTTGTTGGGCTGTTTTTATTATTTAAGAAAGTAAAGAGTAAATATATCGCCACTATCATGGGTCCCTGTAGCTCAAGGTGGGAGCATACTATAATTTGGATCTTTAGAGAATGGTTCAAACTCACACTGAAACTTTCCCCACACACGAGTCTAGATTCCACATGTATTTTAATCAGAGCTTTCACTTCCCACAGGTAGTCAGGCAAAAAGGCAGAACCAGAAGCAATCAAAGTTTTATAAATGATTGTCCTCCATGGTAGTTGACAGCATAGAATATATTTCCAAGTCAAATGTGATGGGTGGCTTCATCTTTTTAGGGCCAATAGTTTGCTGTTCTGGGGAAGCATCATTAGCAAATCGTGAACTGGGATAGGGATTACTGGGATAGGGATTATAGTTAACACTGATGAAACAAGTTCAGTATCAAATCTCAGCTCTACTACTAATTTTCTGAGTAATCTGGGGATTTTATTATCTCTCCACCTGACTTTTATCTTAAACATAATCATACTGACCTTTTACCAAAGCCAAGTGCATGCTGAATGGGATGTTCACAGACTCTGCCCCTGATGGGCTGTTGCCTGGGCCTGGGAGTCTCCTCTCCTCCCACTCTAAGTGTCACTGCTGGAAGGTGCCCTTCCTGTCACCCTGTCTGAAAAGCTCCTCATCTCCTTACTCCCCCAACATCAGTCACTCTCTCCAACTTGCCTTGCTATATTTTTATATAACCTGTTCACTGCCTGACTTAGTTATTTATATGTCTGTTGTCTGTCTTCCCTACTAGCATGTCAGTTCCTTGAACACAGGGGTTTGACTTCGCTTGTTCTTGGCTGCATTCCCTAAATGTAGACTAGTTAGTGTTCAACTTGTTCATAAACCCCTGTCAAATGAATAAAATCATTGAGTTTCATTATCTACAGAGAACCCCTATTTTAAAGCTATTTAAAATAAAATCCTTATCTCACCATCTATCCATTCAGCTAACATTTCTCATCCCATCGAAGAAGTGCCTAATTAACTTCAGTGTTTTTAAACAGAAAGGCATAATCATCTCCTTGGAAAAATCTTCACCAGAAACCATCAGAGTTAATGTTTCTCTCCCAGTTCTTTGAATCTCTTACTCTTAGGGTCTCTTTGTTAACACTTAAAGACCTAGTCTTTGTCTTTCTTTGTTTATTTCTGATATTTGCTCAGTCTTATCTAAGTTAATCTTAAATATATTAAAAAAAATTCATGCACACTGGGGAAATGTGCTTATAGTCTTAGGAATCAAACTCATTTGGGAGCAAGGTTTTTAGAAAATTAATATTCTGAAATCAGTCACTAGAATGTTCTTTCTAACAACATTTTCCCCTGATGTGGTCTTGTGAATTATCAAGAATAAGAGAGAAAATACACTGGTTGCTTATCAACAAATCCCAGTGATCTATCTGGCACAGAAAACTGGAGGACTTCACAAAAGGACTCTGAGTAGACGCATCCATCCCTCCACCCATCCATCCATCCACCCACCCATCCATCTGTTCATCCACCCACCTATCCATCCATCCACCCATCCATCTAGCCATCCATCCATCCATCCATACATACATACATACATACACACACCCATCCATCTATCCATCCATCCATCTGTCCATCTACCTATCCATCCATCCATCTGTTCATCCACCCATCCATCTACCCATATATCCATCTATCCATCCACCCACCCATCTAGCCATCCATCCATCCATCTACCCATCTATCCATCCATCCATCCACCCATCCATCTATCCATCCATCCATCCATCCACCCACCCATCTATCTATCCATCCATCCATCTACCCATCTATCCATCCATCCATCCACCCATCCACCCACCCATCCATCCACCCATCCGTCCATCTACCTATCCATCCATCCATCCACCCACCCATATATCCATCTATCCATCCATCCACCCATCCATCTATCCATCCATCCATCCATCCATCCATCCATCCATCCATCCATCCATCCTTTCATCCATCCATCCATCCTTTCATCCATCTGTCCATCTACCCATCCATCCAGCCTTCCATCCAGGCAGCCATCTGTCCATCTACCCACCCATCCAGCCAGCCAGCCAGCCATCCACCCACCCACCCATCCATGCATTCATCCATCCATCATGCTATCCACAAATCTTCAATTAGTCTACAAACATGAAATAATTAAATGGCAGTGTCCCAAATATGGTACTCACAGGCTTGCTTTAAAGGATGCTTTTCTGGAAGATTCCTAGAACTGCTAGATGAGATTTGGACTCTAAGTGTACAGAGTGTTTTTGATAATGGGGGAATTAATCAACTCAAGCAGAAAACTATATTATACAAATATCTTAGTACACAGCTGGTAAAGAAATGAGCAGCTGTGGAAAACAGGTTAAACAGAAATCTCAAGCATAATGCTTCCCCTAAGTACAAACATGCTAATGGATATCATTCCTGCAATATACAAGTCAAGTAGGCAGTGTTCTTCAGAATACAGGGTGTGACTTTTTAATAGACTGATGGTTTAAGGCCTAAAATAAAAAACTGATGAATTCTACCACCAAATTTCTAAAACCAGAAAATTTTTAAAACATGCAGGAAGATCAGAAGAATTCCATACCTTGTCCCTGTTGGCATATCAAGACACCAGCTGTCACAGTCTTTACCTGTCTCTAACACTTTTTCCTGGTTAGCCTATAACCTATCCATGCTGTTTAGAGCTTTCTGCTCCCCTGTCCAGGACAGAAAAGCTCTCAAGCTAAATTTCAGATGGGAGGACTAAAAACAACTTACTGTTTCGACAGGGAGAATACTCAGCATAGGCACTGAAATTCTGAATTGCAACGTAGCAGGTGCCAACTGGGTCCTTTGCGGGTGCTGGTTTAAGAGTCCTCCAGTGATATAAAGGAGCACAGGCCTAGGAAACATCAAAGTCACAAAAACACATTTTTGATGTAAGTTTCTTACTCTATATTTGAGTTACTAATTAGGGTACCTGAATTTATGATAAACCAAGTTAAATTATTAAGCAAATTCAGTGGCCTTCAGCATACTAGTGAGTGAGTCCCTGGGGGCATCAGGGTTAAACTTTCAAAGCTAATTTTTAACATTCATGTACTGTAGAATTGGCAAAAATTAAACATCTCCATAAAATGAGTTTTCCCCCATAGACTCTTAAAATTTTTGCCAAAGAAAACAAATGGAAAATTGTTTCTAAAAGCAGAGAACTAATATTTTCTTTTCTTTTTTTTTTTTCTTAAAGAACCTACATAAAAAGCGAATGGTCATTCAAACAGTGAATAAATCAGTGTGATGTCTTAACATGAGAAATATTTACTTTCTTTGTCTAATTGTTGCTTTAAAAAATGGCTTTCTAATCAAAGGATGCAGACAGGTTAGTAACCTGTTTTGTGGATTCTCCTATTCATCACAGAAGTTGCATCTTAGGACTCTTTAAACAGCTTTCATGGAAACATGCCCAGGTTTCCATGGGTTTTGTGCCTTGATTTTTTAATTCCATGGTTTTTATTTATGGCAAAACTGAAGGCAAAGGATAGCATCTCATGCCTGTCTTAGCAATTTTATTAGAGATGATCAGGAAGTCATTAAAAGAGCATGGTAATGACCTGTAAGGATTTTCAAGGCATTGAACACTACTTGTGAAGTAACCCAAGACAGTGCCTTGGCTTGTTATGGAGAAATTTACTGAGATAAACTTCAAGGACCTCAGACAGCCTTTCTGAGAAAGTTGAGTTATTCCAAATCATTTCATAAATGAAGGCAAAAAAACCCCCAAAGTGTTAGGAATGAAAATATTATTCCCCACTATCCATCTATCCATCCATCCACCCATCCATGAGTTATTCCAAATCATTTCATAAATGAAGGCAAAAAAACCCCCAAAGTGTTAGGAATGAAAATATTATTCCCCACTATCCATCTATCCATCTATCCATCCACCCACCCCATGAAGCTAGTGGGGATAGCTTATTCCCCACTAACATATAAAATGGCAAATTAAATAGCAGTATATACTACACAAATATTCAATCATGGTTTGAAACTTCTTTTAGAATTTGTTGAACTGCCCACAGCACACCAGAGCTTTTCATATAAAATTTGCTTAATAGATGCATATTGAATTAAATTAAATGAAGGCCCACTAGTTACAAGAGGAAACCAGAATTTTATAACACCAAATGATTACACATTTATTGATACATCTTTGCTTTTATGATATATGATTTGTCGTGTCAGAAATGTCACATCTGATTGGGTGTCTAATGTACGCCTTCTCATTTTAGGAATGTTGCTTTGGAGAAAAAAAGACACACCTTATGACATTCTGCCTTATGGCACCATTTCTAGGACTAAATTATGGTAAATGGAGGGGACAGCCTCTAAAATAGTTTGCCTAATGAGTGTATTCATGTTCTACGTATATTGACTTAATAAAATAAAATTTTAAAAATAGTTTGCCCAATATCAGGAATTTTATCATCAAAGATGAATTTAAACAACAGCAAGAAAAATGTGAAATGCTCCGGCTGTTTCTTAGAGTACTATACTTCTAATAAGAGTACTGTATTAGAAAAGATGGATGTGTAATTCTCTTTGGGTAAATTAAATAACCTTACTTTTACAAGAAATGAGCAAGGTGATAGTGTATAAAACATAGGCACTTTTTGACTTCTGTTTTGCCTATAGGATTCCTCTGTTAAGTTTTATCTGATTGCCCAAACATTCATCTCTAAGGACACAGAATCACAGAATCCCATAAAATGGAGCGCTGGTCTACCTTCTCATTTGATGGCATTATACTTATAGCCATTCCAGAGAAGAAATATCTCAATTTTATAATTTTATGATTCCAAATGTGTCCTTGGTGATTTAATTCAATGTATAACTACTTGTAGTAAAGATAATTCAAATTCCCAAGTAAATCACCCGTCTACAAATTCAGCTTTGTGATTTTGCCTCTCTGTAGATTACAGGGTCTTGGTCAATAACCTCAAACTTTCTACCTCATGTAGGTTCCCTAATCTTAGGGTCCCCTTAGTGAACTGACAAGCTGTTGAGTTGATAAATTCCACAGAAGGTGTGAATAGTGAAGCATAGTCTGGTCAGTGAAGCGGTCACCTGTGTAGCCCCATATTATCCACCTTCCTCCACCTTCCATTTCACCAAAGGACATTTAATGCCATGAATTCTATCCAAAGTTGGCCTGATATCAGCTCTAAAATGTTAGCCTGTTTATATCAATTTTCACAATGACCTGGAACACACTGATGTGATGTGTTTGGACTTTGACCCAATCCTAATATCTACACCCATGATACCTGGATATTCACAAGGATACTTCTGTAGGCAGCATTTTGTGGTTCTAGTAACTACATTGCATGGGGGAGGATTTAATTGTCCATTCCGCTGTGTTCCAGCACTCGAAGGGAAGCAATTAACTTGAAAATACACTCTATATTATATAACTTCCTATTACATGATTGAGAAAATGCAAATAGGCCAAAAAAGAATAAAAAACATGATGTATTATTTTATTTTCAATGGTTTTGAAGGTTTTCATAAATATTGAATAAATGTGCAACAATTATATATATATATATATGTTACAGATAAAAATCACATAGTATCCAGAAGTTTTTTTTAACCCCAAACAGTTGTTAGTTAGTTTTTCCTTTCTCTTTTCTTTTCCTTCCCCTTTCTTCTTTCCTTTCCTTTTCCTTTTTCTCTCTTCTTTTTCTTTTTAAGAGACAGGGTCTTGCTATGCTGGCCAGGCTGGTCTCAAACTACTAGGCTCAAGCAATCCTCCCACCTTGGCTTCCCAAATTTCTGGGACTACAGGTGTAAGCCACCACTCCCAGCTTAGTTTTCAATAGTATTATAATTCCCATAAGTTCTACCCCACTAAAGGATAAAAAAGTTCTTACCAGTTCTGAAATGTGATAACTATACATTAATGCAAATACAATTCTATAGGGACTACATTGTAAATTCTGGATATTTAACCATAGAGAGCTGGCTATCCTTTTTATATCACCTGTTTCATGTCAAAATCTCTTGGGGGTGGGGAATTTAACCACAGACTAAATAAAGCAAGGCATTTCCTTTAGATATTTATTATTATTAAATCATAATTCAAATAGCTTGAGACAAATCCTAAAAGCCAAAGTTATTGCTTTGTTTTTATAAGGGAATTAAAGCCAATAGGTTAAAAAATTCCCCTCCCTACAAAAACTTCCAGTTCATTTCAATAGTCATTTATTTCTCAATAACTTAGACATGTATCATTGATTAGAACAAACAAATAACAGAATCATAAAGTCACAGCACTTTATAGCTAAAAGGTATTTATTTGGGAATAAGATTTTTTATACTTTAAGAAGCATTAGTGAACCCAGAAAATCATACTGTTAGTAGCTTTTTAAAAATTATTACTAAAGAAAATTTTCCTTCAGTTCTGAAAGGGACCGATGATATCACAGTAGATTAATTTGTTATGTTTTCTTACAGGAATAGTCCTGTATCTCTGGTCAAATTTGAATTAACCTTAAGCAATAAATTATTTACCTCTTTGAGATTTAGGTATTACTTTTCTATATTTCTTAATCACTTTTGAAACCTTTGAACATATCTAACTGATCTTTTGGAAAACAAGCTTTATTTCCCATAGCTCTGAGTGCGAACATATTCTTTAATTCTAAGTGGTAGACTTATTGCCAACAGGCTTATCTCTGAAAGTCTAATGTGCTCCTATATGAAAGGACTTTTCTAAATATGAAGTTAAAATATTTCGGTGCCCCTAGTGTTTGAAGGCAACACCGCAAACATAGGATTCATACTCACCACGACTTTCCCTTTGTAAGCCTTCACTGTTGCCCCGAACCATTGATTTGATTTAAACTCTACAGGTTCTTTGGTTCCATTAACTCTGATCTTTCTGTTGTCTAGAAAAGAAGGTATGAATTGTTAAATATGTGTCATGGAAGCCAATTAAAACATATCATAAATTCGTTTGTTAAAAAATACTTGAAGAGCTAAAACTAGTCCTTCTCAAGCTCTTCCAAAACCTTGAAGAGGAAGGAATAGTTACAGAAGCCGGCATTACCCTAATACACTAAAAGACGCTGCAAAAAAAAAAAAAAAGAAAGAAAAAGAAAAAAAAAGGAAAATTGCAGGCCAAAATCCCCAATAAACAAGGATGCAAAAATCCTCAACAAAATACTAGCAATCCAAATTCAACGGTGCCTTAAAAGGATCAAGTGGAATTTATCTCGGGGATACAAGAATGGGTCAACATATGCAAATGAATAAATGTGATACTACACATTAACAGAGTGAAAGACGAGAACCATACAATCATCTCGATAGATACCAAAAAAACATTTGACAAAACTCACCAGGACAGGGTAAAAAGGAAGCAAGGATGTAGAAAACAATCAGAAAAAATTAACAAAGTGACTTAATTCCTTACCTAACATTAATAATAATGTTAAGTGAATGGATTAAACTCTTACCAAAAGACATACAGTTAGCTGAATAAATTAAAAAACAATAGCCAAATCTATGTGGTCTACAAGAGACCCATTTTAACTTTTTCTTTTTTTTGCAGTTTTTGGCCAGGGAGGGTTTGAACCTGTCACCTCTGGTATAGGGGGCCAGCACCCTTACTCCTTGAGCCACAGCAGGACACATACAGGCTAAAAGTGAAGGGATGGAAGAAGATATTCCGTGCAAATAGTAACCATAAGAGGGCAGTAGTGGCTATCCTTATATCAGATAAAATATTAATAGAATTTAAGTCAAAAATTATTACAAGCGTCAACAATGCTCATTATTTAATGATAAAAAGATCAATTCATCAAGAGGACATAACAATGATAATTATACAGAGGTTGCCAAAAAAGTATACACACTTTAAGAAAGAAAAAAACTACATTAAAATTGTAATACATGGTCACATTTGACTTCTCCAATTACAAGAGGTGCTCTTGTATTACTCTTTTGTTATTGGTATATATTGAGTGTTTTATATATATATATATATATTTTTTTTTTTTTTTTTGAGACAGAGTCTCTGTAGAATGCTGTGGCATCAGAGCTCACAGCAACCTCAAACTTTTGGGCCCAAGTGATCTTCTTGCCTCAGTTCTTCATTTTCAGTAGAGACAGGGTCTCTTGCTCAGGCTGGTTTCCAACTCATGAGTTCAAGGCATCGACCCTCCTTCCTCCCAGAGTGTCAGGATTATAAGCGTGAGCCACCACACCCAGCCTGAGTATTACAATTTTAATATAGTTTTTTCTTTCTTTCCTTAAAATGTGTGTACATATTTTTGGCACCCTCTGTATATGCACTGAATGCTGGAACACCTAAATATATAAAGCGATTATTGGTGTGTGTAAAGGAACAAATAGATAGAAATACAGTAACTTCAATGTGTGGAAACTTCAATACCCTAATTTCTACAAAGTTCAACGAAAAAATACTGAACTTGAACTGTAGTTTAGACCAAATGGACCTAACAGATATATATATTATATATATGCATTATTTTTTCTGCAGTTTTTGGCCAGGGCTGGGTTTGAACCCACCACCTCTGGCATATGGGGCCGGCATCCTACTCCTTTGAGCCGCAGGTGCCGCCCTATATATGCCTTTTTATAAATATATAAATACATATATATATTTTTCAATCCATAAGCAGAAGAATATACATTCTTTTCTAGAGAACATAGAACGTTTTCCAGGATAGAATGTATGTTAGGCCACAAAGCAAGTCTTAACAAATCCAAGAAGATTAAAATCAAATCTAGTATTGCTTCTGATCACGACAGTACAAAACTAGAAGTCAGTAACAGTCAATTTTTTAACAAAATTAAAAAATATGTGGAAATTAAACAACACACTTCTAAATAGCTAATGGTTCAAAGAATAAATCAAAATAAAAATTAAAAAACCACTTGAGACAAACAATGACAACACAGAGAATGCATCAAAATACATGGGAGCAGAAAAAGCAGTTCTAAAAGTGAAGTTTTCAGCAGTAAATGCCTATCTTGTAAAAGAAGAAGGATTCCTAATAGCCTAGCATCATGCCTCAAGGAGCTGGAGAAAGAAAAATAAACTAAACCCAATGTCAGCAGAGGGAAGGAAATAATAAAGATCAGAACAGAAATAAATAGAGCACAGGGAAAAAAATTAGTAAAATCAAGAGTTAGTGTTCGGAAAAAATAAACAAAATCAACAAACTCCTAGCTAAACTAAGAAAAAAAGGACAAAAACTCAAATACAAGGAGAAGTGAAAAGAGAGACATTACAGCAAATATCTTGAATTAAAAGGATCATGAGGACAGCAGTGGTCAGGCACTGCACAATGACATTTCAGTCAAGGACAGACAGCATATATGACAGCAGGCCCATAAGATTACAATACCGTATTTTTGCTATACCTTTTCTATGTCTAGATATATTTACATGCACAAATATTTACCATTATGTTACAATTCCCTGAAGTTCTCAGTACAGTAATATGCGGTGCAGGTTTATAGCCTAGGAGCAATAGCCTATACCTCAGAGCCTCAGTGTGTAGTAGGCCAGCCGTCTAGGTTTGTAAGTGCAAGACAACCTATGGAATGGTGGAAAATATTTGCAAGCCCTACATCCGATTAGCAGTTAATATCGAAAACACATAAGAACCTCAACTCAATAGCAAGAAAACGAATAATCTGATTAAAAACCTAACACAGGACCCGACTATTTTACAAATGACCAACAGGTCTATATGTAAAAAATGCTCAACGTCACTAATGATCAGGAAAATGCAAAGAAAAACCTCTATGAGGTACCACCTCACCCCTGTTGGAATGGCTACTAACCAAAAAGAGAAAAGATGACAGGTGTCATTGAGATGGTAGAGAAGGGGAACCCTACTACCATATTCTTCGGTGAGAATGTAAATTAGTACAGCCCTTATGGAAACAGTACAGAGATGCCTCAAAAAATTAAAAATAGAACTGCCATATGATCTAACTACCTCCCTCCTGGGTGTATGTCCAAAGGAAATGAAATTGGTCCATCAAAGAGATATCTGCACCCCCATGTTCATTACGGAGTTATTGTCAATAGACAGGGCATGAAATCATCTGAAGCGTCCCCCAACAGACTAATGGATAAAGAAGATGGGGAACAGGGGGCGCTAACACTGGCCCCCAGAAAGAAGGAGATCCTGTTGTTTGTGACAGCGAGGATGACCTGAGGGTGTTATGGTAAATGAGATAAGCCAGACACAGAAAAGACAAATCCTGCACCATCTCACTTACATGAAGAATCTAAAATAGTTAAATGCATAGAGGCAGAGAGTAGGATGGAATTCACTGAGGCTGGTCGGGGAGGGTGGGTGGCAGAGATGTTTGTCAAAGGCTACCAAGTTTCAACTGGGTATAAATTCTGGAGATCTATTGTACAGCCTGGTGACAATAGTTAATAATAAAGTATTCTATACTTGAAAATCGCTAAGAGAATAGATTTTAAATGTTCTCACCACACACACAGAGAAAAAAAAATACATACTTATATTAGCTGATGGATATGGTAATTAGCTTGATTTAATTATTTCATAATGTATATCTATGTATATTAAGGCATCACATAGTATACCATAAAAATATACAGTGTTCGTCAGTTCTAAAACATACTTGAAAACCAATTTTCATACAAAAGGGGATTCTCTTTAAGTCTAAGCTAGGAAATGACCTTTCTTAGATACATGCGAAATGAAAATATGTATAGGAACATGTCACAACTTACAACGAGCATCAGGAAAACGCTTTGCGTTTCAGTTTTGCAAAGTTTTGCATTTCAGAGACAAACTTCACGTAGACTCTGATGGTCTTGCATCTACGCTTCGGTTATTGATTTGTTTCCAATTAAAGGGCAAATATTTATAACTGCTCTAAAGAATTATAAATCTTTTTCAGTCAGTGGTGAAACACATGAGATTCTCCTTTGTGCCAGGGTTCTCAGCACCCCGTTAGCAGAAACCAGCCTGAAGAACTCCAAGGTCTTGGTTTTTATTGGAGTAACATGTGTCTACACAGCCACAGAAGATAACTCCCCAACACAATCTTACACACACTTTGCAGATGTCAACAGGAGGAGAACCATCTGGGTAGAACTCAACCCAATTATAACACACTTCAGGTCTTAATAAAAAGCAGATCTATTTTTTTTGCCCCTCTTGATTTCCGGGTAAACTTACTTCACATATGGTTCTAACTGCCCAGTTAGAATCAGAGCTTTTTCAGTCATAACTAGTGAATTTCTAAAGACGCTGGCCTAACCCATCTTATTTGTGTTCCCTGTGACGTGCATTTTCTTTTTCTCCCTCGACCCTGTAACAAGTACATTACAAAATTAACTTTTAACTCCTGTAAAGTGAGGCCAAAAGAAACATGTAATTAAACCTTCCGTGGAGTTTAGTTATGATTGCAGACTTTTTAAAGAATAAATTATATGGATATTCTCAATCTTAACCTAAAATTTACATTCTGACATGTTAGTAAGAAAAAAAAATAATGAGTTTATGTCTTAAAAAGTCTTAGGCTTTTGATGTTTCTGGGCTTTTTTAAAAAGCAAGTTCTGGAAATCCTCACCTAAAATGCATGCCACTAATGAGGAATTAGACAAGCTTACTGTTTGTGGTCTAAAATGAAAAATATAAACATTGCTATTTATGTCTAGGCAACTTGAAAGATTTTAGAACCAGAGTGGAAGGATCTTGCCACCACTACCTGGGTAACCTTGGACAATTTATTTAATCTTTTGGAGTTTTAATTTCTCCTGTAAAATGAAGCTGAGAATACTTCCTTTTTCACTGGGGGGTCATAAAGTTGCAGGGGTCACATGAGGTTAATGAATGTGACAGTTCTTTAGAAGCTGGGAAGTCAC